GCGGCCCGATCTCAGCACTGTAGCTGGTCACGTTGGGTTGCCGCTTCACTCTCGCTCTCCTCTCGCACGCGCCTTATCGGGATGCGTCTCTTGCCCTGCGTGCTCTTCAGGACCATCTTCGCGAAGTCTGGCCTGAGGGGCCACGTGGGCCTGCCGTCTGAGCCAAGCAGGGTGAAGGGGCTGAACTTCCTGCTAGGTGTGATGCTGTACTTCTGGTATCGGGTCTCGAGCTTCTGCTGGTCTTCCTCTGGGAGGGGGCCCCACTCGCCGAGGACATCCTTCGCTTCCCATTGGGCCCCAGTGCTCTCGCATGCCCTGATCCCAGCGCTGTAGCTGATCGCATCTGGCTCGACCGTCGCCTCCCACTTCTCGCACGTGCTGTTGCCATGGCCTTTGCCTCCTGCCAGCCACGTTGATGCGATCACTTCTCGAGCCATCCACATGGCCCTGCTGGTGCCGTCCATCCGCGGTCCGTCCGCTGGAGGCTGAGATCCAAAGCTGCAGCTGATGGCATTGGGCTCTAGCTTCGCCTCGCCCTTCTCGCAGTTGCTACTTACCACGCCGTGACTGGCGACATCGGGCTCCAGCTTCGCCTCTCTCTTCTCACAGGGTGGTGCCGTAGCTGCCTGCGACTGTTTGCCTAGGCTAGCGGTGATACTGGGCTCTAGATTCGCCTTCCCCTTCTCGCATTTCTCGCAATCCTTCTCGCATTGCTTCCACTTGCGGCTGTCACACGCATCTGTCTTGATGCTGTGGCTGATGCCGCTGGGCTGGCTCTTTGCCTCCCCCGTTTCACCATTCTCGCATGTCTCCCACTCCTCGCAGCGTGTGTGTAGAGGCTCCTCTCCCGTCTCGCACGCGCAGCTCCGAGCGATTAGGCTAGTGGTGATATCGGGCTCTAGCTTTGCCTTCCCCTTCCCGCATTTCTCGCAGCCACTCTCGGAGATGACGTTGGGCTTTGGCTTCGCCTCCCCAGCGGCATCCTTCTCGCATTTCTCGCACGCGTTTCTCCCAGTGTTGTGACTGATGGTGACGGGCTCCAGTTTCGACTGTCCCTTCTCGCGTATCGGTGTCGCAACGCCCTTCTCGCACACACTGGTTTCCTCGCACGCGCCACTCTCGATGCTGAAGCTGGTGACGTTGGGCTTCGGCTTCGCCTCCCCCTTGGCACCCTTCTCGCATTTCTCGCACGCGCGTGTCCCCGTGGTGTGGCTGAGGACGCAACTACCCGAGCAGCCACTACAGCAGCTGTCGCCACCAAGCCTCTTGAAGCTGCCACTACAGAGATTGCTATCATTCCCAGCGCTGTAGCTGATAATGTCCTGCTCCCATTGCCCACGCTTCTTGAAGCTGCCACTACAGAAATTGCCACCATTCCCAGCGCTGTAGCTGATAACGTTGGGCTCTTCCGGAGTCGGCCTTTGTTCGCTTTCTCTCCCCGCCGCTGGCCACGTCGCCTCCTGGTAGATCTCCGTCCACGGGAGGCCCCACCAGGGCTGCTGCTGGCACTGGACGCTCCAGTCCAACTCGACCTGGCGGCACGTGGCCAGTCGGAGCCTGCGGTTTGCACGTCTGCGGCTTCTGCTGGCCGTAGCCTTGGGGGGCCACCCTCCTTCACTGAGGGGCCCGCACCACGACTCGCCCAGCATTCTCACGCGCCGCCGCACGGCATCGGGGCCATGACCGTCGCGCCCGCGGCGCTGGGGGCGGGCTCTCGGGCGTCTGTGCCCGTTCGGGCCGCCACCTAGGAGGAGGAGGAGGAGGAGGAGGAGGAGGAGGAGGAGGAGGAGGAGGAGGAGGAGGAGGAGGAGGAGGACAACATCTGCCCCTGTCAAAACCGCCGGAGGGCGTTCCGGCTTCAGTGCCTCCCCAGGGCCTGGCCCCTGGTATGAATGCACATCCACGAGCAGCCCCTGAAGTGTTGAGGCCCAATAGGACGACCGGCGTGCTGACCCCCCCCCTTCGCGACAAGAGGTGCGTCGCGCATTCGTCGCCCGTGCGCCGCCCGTGCGTCGGCCGCCGAAAAGGCCAGCCGCCCTCTCGAACGTGCACGTCGCCCTCGCAAAGGGGCAATTTGGTGACAAACGCGTTCTTTGTGCCTGCCCGCGGGTCCGGCACGGGGCGGTGGCGCGCCGCTGGAGCCGAGGGCAGCCGCCGAGTGCAGCTTGTTGAGATCGGGTGCAGCTCACGGGTGCCTGCAGTGCCAGCTTGTGGACGCCTGCGAGCCGACGCTGATCGACGCCGACTCGGCGCGAGATCAGGTCTCTCGCGATACCTCGAGCGATGTGCTTCCATTCTGGAACCACCGTCGCGAAGCTGCTCTTCCCACACCCGCATGTTCTCAGGATGTCTGGAGCGAAACGCTTCCGCTACACAGTGTACGATATACTGAGGATGCCCCCATTTCGATACACCATGTTCGATATCCTCAGGACATCTGAGGCGATACGCTCCCGATCTCTTCATGCCAATTTTCTGAGGGTATCTAGAACGAATGTTTTTGCTTCCGCAAACGTCGATCCAATATCCTCCTGTTGGTGTGGATGTCCCAGGCGACTCTCTCTCTCTCTCTCTCTCTATTATTTTAGGACCTCTCCTAACTAGGGCCCAAGGTCCTCCCACTAAAGAAAATCTGGACCCTCTCGTGGCCCTGTCGGGGCTCTCTCGGGCCCTCTTGGAGGCCTCTTGGGGACCTTCGTGGTCGTGGGCCTTTCCGAGGAGCTCGAAGAAGTTCCAAGAGTGGCACAAACCAGATAGATCAGTGACTTATCTGGTTTGCGCTCCTCTGAGAGACCCCTCTCGTGGCCATTCCAGGGCGGCGGCGGATGGGGAATGTGATGGATGAGGCTGAAGAGCGACATGCAAGCCACGATTCTGCACGCGGTGGCGCTCATCCACTCGCGCGCCAGTCATAAGCCGACAGGAACCGGGCCGTCCAGTGTACAAAGCCTTCGATCAAGTGCGGTGCCTGGGCCTCGTCCTGGAGCACCAGGGAGAGGAGCGCGTTGGAATGGAAGCGGGATGGAAGGAACGTGTGCTGCAGAAGAGTCAACGATCGTTATTTGACAATCCTAGGGTCCGAACACTGCATGCCAAGCACTGCAAAGCGCAATCTCTCCAGTTTTTCTGCAACTCTGGAGGACCTGTACTGGACGCCCGAACCTGGGCAGGGACGCCCTGGCAACACAAATCAGGACGGGCGCGCACGGCAGAAGTAAGAAGAAACTCGTCATGCCACGGTAAGGCCGTATACACTTTTTGATTCGCGGGGCGAGAGCGCACCTCTTCCGGTCGAAGCTAAGCGGGCCGCGCGAAGCTTGAATTAACGGAGGGGGGGACAGAAGGAGAGGCCTCACGTCAAGGCCAAGAGGAGGAAAAGCCTCGGGATCAGGCGGTGCCGAAGACGACGTGCTTGCAAAGGAACGCCTTGGATGTAAGGCCGTATACACTGATCACTCCAAAGTCCTCCGCCACACCCGCGCCACCGAGACCACGATCCCCCGTCGCTTACTCTCCACAGCCGCGCCTCTGCGGCCACGAGCTCCCGTAACTCCCGCCGCCCTCGCGCGCGCGCGAGGCCGCGACCCCTCGCAGACCACGCCGCGCTCGCGCCCCCGAGGCCACGACCCCTGGCAAATCACACCGTACTCGCGACGCCGAGGTCACGATCCGCTGTAAATTACACAGCGCTCGCCCCCCCGAAGCCACGATCCTTTGCAAATCACACCGCCTTCGCGCCGCCGAGGCCCCGATCCCTTCTAGACCACGCCACGCTCGCAACCCCGAGGCCACGATCCCTGGCTATTTGCACCACGTTCGCGCCTCCGAAGCCACGATCTCTTGTAAATTACGCCACAGTCGCGCGCCCGAAGCGACAATCTCCTGCAAATTGCACCACTTTCGCGCCCCCGAGGCCACGATCCCTGGTAAGTTTCACCACGCTCGCGCCCCCGAAGCCAGGATCCCTCGTCGTGCCCCCGAGGCAACGATCCCTTCTAAATCACACCACGTTCGCAACCCCAAGGCCACGATCCCTTGCAAATTGCACCACATTCGCACCCCCGAAGCCAAGATCTCTTGTAAATTACCCCAGAGTCGCGCCCCGAGGCGACAATCTCCTGCAAATTGCACCACTTTCGCGCCCCCGAGGCCACGATCCCTGGTAAGTTACACCACGCTCGCGCCCCCGAAGCCACGATCTCTCGTAACTTACACCGTCTTCGTGCCCCCGAGGCCACGATCCTTCCTAAATTACGCAACATTCGTGCCCCCGAGGCCACAATCCTTTGTAGATTCCGCAATGGCAAAGCGGACGCTGAGCAAGTAAGTCAAGCAAATCGGGGTTCGCGCCTTCAATGTACATCACCTGTCATCGACGCCCGGTGGCCTTTTGGGACGTCGTGGAGCGTCGGAAGATTGACAAGTAGAACCCACCAAAGCATGGACAAAAAACATAAAGATCGTTCGATTTTGCCTCTTGGGGACATCTGGGAAGCACTCGTCGAATTCTCTTGGGTCGTCTGGGGGCATATTGGGACGAAAAGCTGGAATTGTCGCCTCGGACTCCTGCTCTTTGGGACCGTCTTGGGGCCCTCTTGGGCCGTCTTGGGCGCCGCTAGGCCCATCTTGGGGCCCTCTTGGGCCGTGTTAGGAGCACTCGGGGGGCCCCTCGGGCCGTTTTGGGGTGGTCTCTCTCTCTTACGGTCTGCAGCACGACGGAGCCATTGAAAATGGCTGGTGCTCACTGGCCAGAACGTAACTGGCCGTTCTGATCAGCAGACCTTGACAGGGCACGCAGTCACCGTCCGCGAAAGTGCAGCGAGCACTGCCAGACCAGCACGCACACCGCCGCGTCCAGCGTCGCGCCACGGAGCACGCGTCTGCAGCCAACGGCGCGCTGCCCCGAACGCGGGGCAGCGAGGAGGAGAGGAAGACGTTCGGGGGGGGGGCGGGGCGGGGCGAATCCGAGAGTCTGCGCCTGCATCGGCGGCCCCCCGCGATCACCCGCGGGAAGCGGAGGGCATGTAAGATCCCACGAGGCCCCACGGGAAGCTGCAGGCAGCACGAGCGGGCCGCGGCGGCTGGGCCTCGAGGGCGGGCCCGGCCGCGGACGAGGAGCTGGCGCTCGTGCTGCTCTCCTGTCGACGAAAGGCGTCCGCGTCGTCGTTCAGGCAGGTCGCAGCGGAAGACGCGGCGCTCTGCTGGCGCATCAGGCCCGCGTCGTCGTCCTGGAGCAGGGGCCCTGTCGACAGGCTGCTCTTCTGACGGGTCCAGCACTCGTCCCTGCACGCGAAGTCGTCCAAGGATTTCGAGGCCTGACAGGGTCTCGATTCCGATGAGCACTGGTTGTCCATCTCGGGCTTGAATATCACCTCAAGGGCCTCGTGGCCCTGGAAGCGGGAGTAGCTCACAGTAAACAACTTCGTGGGGGGGTTGCCGCACGCATCCTCGAGGCCCGTCGACGCTTCCGCATCCAAGACGAGCACATCCATCGGCGATATGAAATTCACGAACGCAAAGCCTGCCCGAACGTTCCAGTGCTCCCTCGACGGCATGTAGAAAAACGTATTCACCATCGTGACCCCTGGCACGTTAAGGCGTGTTAGAATGCAGTGCCAAGTGCTGTCTGGTAGGGTTTTGTAATATTCTAAGGTTTTGTAATCTTCTAAAGGGTCCCCCTCTCCCAGACGCACCTCGTGGCGCGCACCGGTCATACTCCCCGGCTGTCCCTGGGCGGCCCCGGCGCCTCCCGGAGGCTTTCCAAGGCTTCCACGACGGCGCAGGAGGCCCCCAAGAGGGTCCAAGAGGGCCCCGAGTCGCCGAGCGATCGCTCGAAGACGCCACGAGATGGCCTCAATATGGCGCAAGGGGCTTCGAAGGCGCCCCAAGAGGGCCTCCACGAGGTCTCCCAAGACCATCCCACGAGGCCTCCACGAAGCTTTGGGCGTTCTCGCCCTTTCGGCTTTCCGACGCTCTAAGAAGATCCAAGAGGCCCCCAAAACCATCCCAAAACGGCCCAAGAATCTCCAAGAGGGCCCCAAGACGGCCTCAGAGCACCCCAAGACGGCCCAAGAGGCGCCCAAGACGGCCCAAGCGGGCCCAAAAGACCGCCCCCCAAAGGGGCCCCAGAGACGGAACACGAACCGAATATCCGACCCTTCTGCCCCAAGGGGCTCCCAGGAGGCCCCAAGAGGCGCCCAAGAGGCCCCAAGTGGCCCCCATATAACCCACAACCCAGGCACGGTGGCGCGACTTGCCGCAGGCAGCTGGATACCTGTTCCCAAGCTCGCACCTGTCCAGGAACGACAGGAAGTCCGGCTTCGTCCAGCCTTGTAGGTTCCTGATCATGACGGATGTGCGCGAGTCCACGCCACACAGTACGGCCTCTGGGACGATCTCGTACGTATGGAAGTCCCTGCTGGTGATCTCGAACCGTGCGACGCCATGCGTGGTCACACCGCTGGCACGTCCTGCGGCGCTGCCTGGGATGCCGCTGTTGCCTTTGGCGCTGGCGCTGGCGCAGATGTCGCCAGCGGCGCCTCCTGCTGATCTGCCGGCGGCATCTTGGACTTCTCCGGCTTCTGCTCCCAACACTGCGAGGGCCGACGATGCTGTGCCTGCGGTATCTGCTCTGGCCGCTGGGAGAAGATCGGTTGCTGCGGAACTGCTCGCCCGCTGCGAAGCGGAGCTGGGATACAGCAGGAGCAACTTCTCCAACTCCTGCTCCCAGCGCTGCCTCGACCAGCGAGTCGTTGGCTGCTGGTGCTGCTGCGGCGCTGGCCGCGGAGGACACCTCTGGTCCAGCGGCGTCAGGTCCGACATTGGCGCCGGGGCACGCACGGGAGGAGGCGGCGGGAGGAGGAGAAAGAAAAAAATCGGGGAACAAGTCGCGAGCGGCTGTGCTGAAGCCAAAATGCCACGGACCGTTTTGGGATGGTCTTGAAGGCCTCTGGGGACGTCGTGGACCGTCGGGAACCCGAAAAGGCGGGACCTCCATCAACACCGGAAAACCTGAAACAACTAATTGTTCCCAACCATCCTGTGGAGTTGGCTCCCCGCTTTGAAGAAACAGCGCTCCGCGTCTCTTCTCATCCTCTTCCTATCCCCCTCGTCCTCCCTCCTCCCCCTCCTTGTCTCTGCCCTCCGCATGTACCTGTTTCGGCACACACACACACACACCTGACACGCTTCGTGGCCCCATAGGGAGCTCCACCGAAGGTCCACATGCCAGCGTTTGTATGCGCCCAGTGCACCCATTCTGGTACACCTCTCACACATTTCTGGCCCCGCAGGGAGCTCCACGGAAGGTCCCAGTAGCAGCGTTCGCATGCGCCCACCGCACCTATTTCGGCACACCCCCGTCCCACGTTTCCTGGCCCCATACTGAAGGAACTCCACCGAAAGCCCCAATGGCGGTGTCCACATGCGTCCGCACCACCAATGTCGGATAATTCAGGAACACCATTCACACGTTTCGTGGCCCCGGAAGGAGCTCCACCGAAAGCCCCAGTGGCGGTGTCCACATGCGTCCGCGCCACCTATTTCGGCACACCTTTCACACGCCTCGTGGCCCCAGAGGAAGCCCCACCGAAGGCCCCAGTGGCGGTGTCCACATGCGTCCGCGCCACCAAAATCGGCACACCTTGCATACTCTTCGTGGCCCCAGAAGGAGCTCCACCGACGGACCCAATGGCAGTGTCCACATGCGTCCGCGCCACCCATTTCGGCACACCATTCATACGCTTCGTGGCCCCATAGTGAGCTCCACCAAAAGCCCCAGTGGCAGTGTCCGTATGCGTATGCGCCACCCATGTCGGCACACCCCTCACACGCTTCGTGGCCCCCGAGGGAGGCCCCACTGGCACTGTCCATAAGCGTCCGCGCCACCCATGTCGGCACACCCCTCACACGCTTCGTGGCCCCAGAAGGAGCTCCACTAAAAGCCCCAGTGGCGGTGTCCACATGCGTCCGCGCCCCGCATTTCGGCGCACCTCTCACACGCTTCGTGGCCCCAGAGGGAGTTCCACCGAAGGCCCCAGTGGCAGTGTCCACAGGCGTCTGCGCCACCCACGCCAGCACACCCGTCGCACGTTTCGTGGCCCCATCGGGAGCTCCACCGAAGGCCCCATGGCGGTGTCCACATGCGTCCGCGCCACCCATGTCGGCACACCCCATCACACGCTTCGTGGACCAAAAGGGATATCCACCGAAGGCCCTAGTGGCGGTGTCCACACGTGTCCACGCCACCCACTTCGGCGCACCGTCACGATTAATTTGGACATCGCGCTCTCGCTCGAAACTTCCTCCCGATTCGTGCAAGACGCACGCTTCAGCAACCCGCCTGCTCGACCTGGCCGCCTGGGCCCGCCTTCCCGACCCGCCCGTGAAGGTGTACCCGCCCGATCTCCCCGTCTGGTTCTGCCACGTGTTTTCTGCTCTTGGCCCCCGTCCTGCTTCTCTCTTTCGTGCTCCATCCTCTTCCCCCCTCTCGTCGGTCTTTCCATCCATCCGTCCGTCCTCTCTTCCCCTGCCTCACTGGCTGCACGTAGTACACGCTACTGACTCACAACAGGGTGCGGCCGAAGAAGAAAAAGAAGCAGCTGAAGGAGATAGAGGGTTTGGGATATACGCGTGGCACGCGAGCGAAAAAGATCGAACTGTATGTAAATGAGTGGTGTTGTTGTTGCTGTTGTTGTTGTTGCTGCTGCTGTTGCTGTTACGCTGAATCTTAAGACCCCATACAGGCGCCCTGGCGCTCTCGCTTCGGAGCCTGCTGCTTGTCCTCTTGACAATTCGGCTCACGCTCAGGCGTTTCGGGGTTGCGCTGAAAATGGTCCCTCAACAACAATATCAATAATAACAACAGCAACAACCATCATGTTACCCTCATGCGCGATGTTGCCACACGAACCATGCGACCATGGGGGACTCTTGTTCTATAGCCGGGTTTGTTGTTCCCATTCCCGGATCTCCCGCCCAATGAAGTCTTGCAAACACCTCCTCCGAACAAAAATCAACATATCCCGCCTCGAAAACGCATGCCCGCGCCTTGCTGCGCCGATGCGAGACCGCCAGTGGAGCCCCAGCCAAATGTAAAGCACAAGGCCGTATCGAACGGCAGGATTGCCTTGGTGGGGATGGGGGCTGTCGGCGGCGAGGCAAGGACCTGGCCCTGAACAGAAAGGGGGGAGGTCTCGAGCAGGGCCGCTGTTGTTGCTGGGGCGGTGCCAATGCTGAAGAGAGTAGGGCGCTTGTCCAGCGTAAAACAAAACGAAATTTCGAGCGGGAACGCTGGTTTTGTTGGGACGGCGGTTGTCGGAGGCGACGAGGAACACCGCCTACAGAGTAAAAAGGGAAGAAATCTCGAGCGGGAGCCGTGGTTTTGTTGGGACGGGGGCTGTCGGCGGCGAGGAACAGCACCGTGCTTAGGAAAAAGAGAGGAAGCCTCGAGCGGGAGCGGTGTTTTTGCTGGGAACGGCCCCAATTCAAAAGAGAGTACCCACCGTAACACGGGAGGAAGTCTCGGGCGGGAGCGCTTGTTTTGTCGGGACGGCGGTTTTCGGCGGCGAGGAGGAGCACCGTCTTGAGTAAACAAGAGAGGAAGTCTCGAGCGGGAGCGTTGTTTTTGCTGGGGGCGGCGCCGATGAGAGAAACATTCGCGCGCCAGTCCAAGGTAAAACGGGAGCACTGGTTTTGTTGAGACGGCGGCTTTCGGCGGCGAGAAAAAGCACGAACCCTGAGTAAAAAAAGAGGAAGTCTCGAGCGGGAGCATTGTTGTTGTTGGGGAGGCCTTTTTGGCGCCCCCCCAAACCGCTCGAGCGTGAGCCTCATTCTCAATGACAATGTAGCAGGCGCCGAAGCGAGAGCGTCAAAGCGCTTGGGGGGTCCAACAATATTTATTGCTTAGTTATTAACATTCAACAGCATCAACAGCAACAGCAACAGCAACAGCAACAGCAACAACACTATCATTTTCAGACTGTTCGCCCTTCTCTGCTCGAGTCTCGATACCCGCCCTCTTCGTCTTCGATCAAACCCCTTTTGGGGGGTACGCCTTTCTTCCCTGCAGGCCAGGCCCCGGCAAGCGGCAGCGCTGATCGGCGGGGCGGCCGCGGACCGTCGACCCGACCCCAAGAGGGACGGACAGGGGACCGACCACGACGACGACGACGACGTCGACGACGACGGCGACGACGACGACGGCGACGACGAGCAAAAGCGAGAGCGAGAGAGAACGACAGCAGGGCCACGAAGGACACGAAGTAGGCCACGAAGGGCGACACCGGGGACACGAACGGAATGCGTATGGGGCCACGAAGAGCGCGAACGAGCGGGGGCCACGAAGGGCAGATAATGCGGGGTCACAGAAGGCAGCGATGGGGCCACTGAGGGTAGCAACTGGGCCACGTAAGACAGTGAGGGGGGCCACAAACGGCGACAGCGGGGCCACGAAGGGCATGCACATGGGGCAAAAACGGGCGCGACTCCTGGGTGCCTGGGTGTCGGGAGCGCGGCGCTTGAGCTAATTGCAGAAATTCCAACGCAAGGGCGCTATTCTTCAGTAAATTGCTAGCAAATCTCCAGCGGGAACGCGACTCCAGAGCGATGGGACAGCGATTCCTGATTAAATTGTAAGGAAGTCTCAAGCGAGAGCGCGATTCCTGAATAAAATGCGAAGAAATCTCGGGCGGGAGCGGGGATCCTGGCTAAATTGTGAAGAAGTGTCAGGCGGGAGCCGTTGTTGTTGCAACCCGGGGGCGAGGGGCACAGTTTGAGCATCAAGACTTCCCCTCTCAAAAAACAAGGGTGTTAGCGTCGAGGGGCACACTTTGATTGAAAAACAATATGCACCGGTGGGGGGATCAACAAGAATTATTCTCCAGAAGTGAAAATTCAACAACGACAAAAAAATTGAGACTGTTCGCTCTTACTGGCACGCGTGTCTTGCATTCTGTATACCACAACCCTCGATATCCGTCCATTTCGTTTTCGATTGTACCTCGTCTCGGGGGAAATATTTTCCTCGTCGGCCACTGACTGAACTGCGACAAACTCTCGAACGAGAGCGCCGTTCCTGAGTTCGGGGGCCTCTCTGGCCAGGGGCTTCGGATAACATCTTGAAAAATATCGAACGGGAACCCTTGTCACAAGTTGCCAGAATTACGAGAAAGTCTCGAACGAGAACGCCACTCTTGAGTTCGGAAGCCTCTCTTGCAAGGTCCTTTTGCGAATACGCATGGAGGAACTATCGACCGAGAGCCCTTGTCGTCGCAGTTGGGCCTCCACCAATTTGCATGAATCACGAGAAAATCTCGGGCGAGAGCGCTGTTCCTGAGTTCGGGGACCTTCTTGGCCACGGGTTCTCCGGGTTAAACTGTGAGGAACTATCGAGCATGAGTCCCTGTCGTCGTGGTTCAGCCTCCGCCAACTTCACTGGATTACGACGAAGTCTCGAGCAAAACGCCGATCCTGAGTTCGGGGGCCTCTCTGGCCACGGTGTCTCGGGGTAAAAAGTGAGGAACGATCGAGCGGGAGCCGTTGTCGTTGTAGCCGGGCCTCCGAGGGCCCACATGTACAATCAAGCCAACGCTCGCGCGGGAGATTCGTTTTCAGAGAAAGTGTAGCCAGCGTCGAAGCGAGAGCGCGCGGAACCGTCTCCATATACCAGAAGCAACTATTATCCAGAAGTTCGTACTCAACCGCAATAACCAATAACAGCGCTCCCGCTCGATATTTCCTCTTTATCTACTCGGGATCTAGGCTATTGCTCAACAGCAGCAACCAAGAACAACAACACCAACAACAATCATTTTAAGACTGTTCGCTCATACTTGCCCGTGTCATTCAAAACGAATTCCCCGCACCCTCGCTACCCGCCCTTTTTGCCTTCGATCACACGACCTTTGAAGGGATTATTTCTCTTTGCGGGGGGCGGCACGCTTGGACGGGCGGGCAAACCTGAACGGGCGGACAATCCTTCGTGGGCGTACATGTGCCCGCCATTGGAATTGGTGTGGGCCCTGCCAAAAAGAGGGGGGGGAGAACGAGGGAGAGCGGGAGGAAGGGAGGGGGAGGGACGAAGGAAGAGGGAAGAAGCCAGGAGAGAATGAGCGAAGAGGGGGGCGGTTGATTAGAGGCAGAGAAAGAGAAAGAGAGCGACAGAGAGAGAGAAAGGCAGATAAGATAGGTAGAGAGAGAGGGGAGAAAAAGCGAGAGAGAGAGAGAGAGAGAGAAATAACGAGGGAGGGAGGAGGCAAGAGAGGGGATGAAGAAGGAAGGAGGGAGAGGAAGGAGAGGGGATAGGGCAGAGAGGCATAAGGATGAGGGCAGAAAGGAGGGAAAGAGAGAAGGGAGGAGAGGAGGGAGGAGGGAGGAGGGAGAGGGAGGAGGAGCAGGAAGGTAAGAACGTGAACGTTCGAGGAAATCCTAAGCGAAAGCGCCGTTCCTGAAGGGAGTCTCGGACGGGAGCCCACGACGGGCGGGCGATCCCCTGACGGGCGGGTCGGGCGGGTGGGACATTCAAGCTGGATGCCTGAGTATGGCGAGAGCGCGATTCCTCAGTAAATTGTGACGGCGTCCGTGGCGCAGCGTGTTTCCTGAGCGTCGAAAGCGCGATTTCGGAATAAATTGGATGGGAGTCACAGGCGAGAGCGCAATTCCTCTACAAAATGTGAAGGGTTCTCTGACGGGAGCGGGGGTCTTGACTAAATTGCGAGGGAGTATTGACTCAATTGCGATGAAATCTCTAGCGGGAACGCCGTTCCTGAGTAAATTGTGAGGAAGTCTCAGATGGGAGCGGGGGACCTGACTAAATTGCGAGGAAATCACAGGCGGGAGCACCGATCCTGAGTAAATTGCGAAGGATTCTTAAACGGGAGCGGGGGTCCTGAGTAAATTTGGAGGAAGTCTCAGGCGGGAGCCGTTGTTGTTGTAATCCAGGGGGCCACGGGCACAGTTTGAGCATCAAGACCTTTTTCCCTGTAAAAAAACAAGGTGCGAGCGTCGAAGGGCACACTTTGATTGATAAAAAACAGCATGCACCCGTGAGGGGGGATCAACAATAATTATTCTTCAGAAATGAGAATTCAAGAGGCAACCCCGATCACACTCACAACAACAACAACAACAACAACAACAACAACAACAACAACAACAACAACAACAACAACAATCACTTTACCCGAACGCTCAGTGTTCTCACCAGTGCCAGGGTTTTCATGCGACGCCAGCCAATACCCCCACTTTGTGGGGGGGCAGTGCAAGCTCTACCAAATATCCACACGACTCTTCGCCACCACCCACACCCAGCTTCCCGCCCTATGACGTTCGGACACTTCACTTCGTGGCCTGCGGACGACCGTGGCTACTACACTGGCGCATGGGTACAGTGACTTGTTGTGGTAACATTTTCTGGACGCTTAGCTTGTTAGAAATTTTGAAAAGTCGTGCAGGTGTTTTTCGAGGACCTACGGTGCGATTCGTGTGATTTTATGATGCGCGGTGCTAAAATTCTTAAGAACCCAATGGTTTTTGGAGATTTCGGCGTGCGCGCGCAAAAAACGAATGTGTCCCGCATGGTATTATTTGACAGGGATGATGGCCCTGGCAGGTGCGCAACCGTTGTCGCAGAAGTTCGAAAAAGTTGCTCGCAAAAGCCCGTTTGACAGAAATGTTTAAAAAGTGTTGGGTTTCCTACGAATCCGCAAGAGCGCGCGGGATGAGATTTTGACATTTTTTTGTTGAAAAACCATTGGTTTTTTGATGTTTTTATGTTAAAATCGCTCCGAACACTAAGCTTTTGGAAGGATTTCGTCTTGCGCGCGCGAATGTCCACTTTACCTTATTTTTTGCAAGGGATTCTTGAAATTTGATTATATTAGAACAAGAAATGTCATTTTATAGTGTTTTTTGCAAGGGAAAACGGATTACAACAAAACAACCGGATCTGGATCACATCGTTTTACCTGAGGCTTCCTCACGAAAATGATGAAAATGTAGCTGCGGCCTAGGCGGCGCAGGGGGGGCGTGCACCAGGGGGCCCAACAATAATTATTCTTTAGAAGTAATAATATTCAACAACAACAACAACAACAACAACAACAACAACAACAACAACAACAACAACAACAAGGTAAGGCCGGGCTCCTGGTTCCCTGCCCCCCAGGACGCTATGTTTCCGGCCTTAGGCCAGGACCCTAGTGCCCTGCCCCCAGTTGCGAGGGGGGGGGCGCAACCGCAACTCCGCAACGTCCGCTGCCACCACAAGGCTTTGTAAACGAATGACTAATAGGATCCCACTGAGATTCTGTGCAGAACTTCGATGTGCGCACCAGCCGAGCGAGCTGCTCCTCTGACATCTACAACCCAATGGGAAATGGATACGGGCTCTATAGGACCTACAAGGAAATTTATACGGGCTCTATAGGACCTACTGGGACATGTAGACGGGCTCTATAGGACCCACTGGGACATGTATACGGGCTCTATAGGACCTACTGGGACATGTATACGGCTCTATAGGCCCTACTGGGACATGTGTACGGGCTCCATAGGACCTACTGGCACATGTATGCGCGCTCTATAGGACCCACTGGGACATGTATACGGGCTCTATAGGACCTTCTGGGACATGTATACGGACTCTACAGGACCTACTGGGACATGTAGACGGGCTCTGTAGGACGTGCTCGCAGCGGCTGATGCTGCTGCCTCCTCCTCGTCCGCCCCCATCCGAGCCTCCTGCTGTGGCTGCTGCGGATATTCCTGCCCTCCCGCCTCCTCCTCTGGGGTTGGGGGCCACGGAGCTTCAGGAGTTTAGCGACCGCGGCCACACGATGGCGCAGATCGGTCGCGTGTGCATTTGCACCGTTTGTTCTGGCTTCCTGGTTTGTCCCCACAGGGTCCCGAGGTCCCTCCTGGCGTCCTGTCTGGGTTCCTCGGTGGCTCCGTCCACTCGGCACAAGCAGCAAAAGGAAGCTGGCCAGAGCCCTGGCGGGCCTG